TTACCTTTTTTCTTCGGGAAGAGTTTATAGTAGAGTGTTGCCTGAATTGCTTGGCAGATCAATGGGTTTTGAAAGAAGTTGTTTTTCTTGGGAGTGAATAATAGGAAGAAGAGATGAAAAAAACCTTTCAGAGACCGTTCAGTCCAACTCCTGGCTGATGAAGGATTGTTCTCCACGATCTTTGTTCAGGTTAATTCTGAAAGTCACAACCAACAAAGCTCCTATTATGACTGTATTTTACCCTCAAGAATTATCAGTAATTTAGAATAAAATGTCTGATGTGCTATTATCTGTTTTTGTTGTAAGTCTGTCAACCTTTATGTGGTGACACAAGCAACAGGACCATTAATGCTTTCATAGGGCAGAGACAAGAGAGGAAGTTGGGACATTTGTTCAGACAGAGCACAGGCAAGGCAAGGCAAGGCAAGGCAAGGCAAGGCAAGGAGAGCAACATCCAGGTTGGGGGCTGTTTTAAAGTAATTTAAACAATGTCCAAGGTATTTCCCCTTGACTCACTCACTAGGCCTTCATGAAAAGCCCTGGCTAGAAAACTGCAGGTGATCCAGCTGGCACCAGCTGCTGTAAGAAAACACCGTGAGTCCCATCTGCAAGGAAACAGACAAAAAGGAAAAGGGCAGAGAAGCATGAACCTAACTGCTCAACTTTGTCACCAGCTTCAAGACTGAATCCAGCCCTACTTGGCGCGGTATCCTGAGCGCTTGAAGGCACATAGCCCTTCACTGACACGGTTTGCATGAATGTAGGGATATTAACAGTTCCTCAGAATTAAGCATTTTAGCCCTCCACTTCTGTAACATGAATGGTTGTGTTTGTGATGAGGAAACCAGCAAGTCCTGAAAGGTGGTTTATTATTTTTAATAATACATAATTAGTTAACGTTGTGTATGTTCAGTGTGAGGTACATATATAACGCTGCCTGTTTTTTTTTTTATAGATGGAAGTATGGAAAAGCCTGTGCTCATGAAAGATATGACAACTGGTTTCAGCTGCCAGTTCCTTGACTTTTACAGGGCTACATACTCACAATTTTAAATAATGTAGGATGATCTGAATATTATGGAAACCATGGTTTAGTGTCCTGCAATCTTCTATTCAGGGTCACATTTTTGCTAACTTTAAAATCAGGGCTCCATCAGCCATTTTTAAAATCAGTTACGTTTTAAATACATGATTCTTGCTTAAGAAAATCCGAAGAGACAGGAGCAAGGCTAAAATTAGAATTCAGGAGCTCTAGCTTCCAAAGCAATGCATATTATGCTACATCTTTTCAATAACACAGGCATTTTCTATTAGTACAACATGGCTTGCAGAATAAATTCTATGAAGTAAATTCTTCCTTTAAAATTCAACATTGGATTACAACATTGTGTTTCCTCTGCAAATTTAACAAACCCAACAATTAAAGGAAAGTCAGGAACAAGACAAATAATTAATTCCCATGAAAATGAAATGACTGTATCATCACAACTTAGAACTTGTGATACTGTATCCAAACTACACTACTGTTTTCCAAAAAAGGAGTCAAAATAATAATAATAATAATATATTGAGTTACTGTAACAAAACCATTCTCTAGAAAAATACTTCTGTGAAACAAAACTGCTTGTATAAAGCTCATGTGGAAAGCAATCAAGTTATATGAAACATTTCATTTTTCATAAATACCTGTGTAGATAGTATGAATATGAATCATGGCCTCTGTTTGAAGAACAAGACTATCAACAGCCAAAATCTAGAAAATGGAATTTCAAAAACATGACGAATGGTTTACCTCAAGAATATTCTAGCAAAAATCTTTGGCCTTTGTGAGGTCTCCACACCCAGCAAATTACAAGCAAATGAGGAACTGCACAGTTGGAAAACTTTATAATATAACTAGCTAGAGCAAAGCACCATTTGCATGTGCAGGCTTTACCCTGAACAGRATGGTTTCCAAAGTTGATGGGCCATCTCTTGTTTACTTTTCCTGTAATATTTTTAAAACTCTGTAAAATTACATGGTTTTCAGCCAGATTTTTAAAGCCAATACTTTACATTCTGCTTCTGTCTACTGAAATACTGTTCATTCTCTATGTGTGACTGTTTGGATAGCTTAGTTACTAAGCTATGGACAAGAACTTACTACAGAGAAATACTTGGTTTAATTGACTTGTAACTTACAAATAATTTCTCTGGTATTTGTCTAGTACAAAGGCTCTCATGCACCTAACAAATGCATGTTAACTAAAAGCATTTTAAAACAGACAACACAGCTAAGTAACAAAATGAGTACTGAAATCTGAATAAGATGTCTCCTGGAAACACTTCAGGATTCCAGTTTGGGTGGGATTCACATTGAAAAAAAAAAAAAAAAGGACAAAAACTAAAAGCAGTTATTCCTGTCCAGAAAACTCTTATAATCATTTCCTACTTAATCACCATGTTATTCTATACAATAGCGCTCAGGTGATCTGGCCATTTTAATTCCATGTTCCCCCTCTCCTTGTTTTCATTAGAGAAAAGTCATAATATATCATTATATATTTATACTGTAGGGAGAACAGAGATTAAGTCTGCAAAACTAATTAGAAACATTCAAATAAAACTGGCATTGTTGAGCTTCTGGAATAAGGCCAATCTGAACTAAATTTATCTAGCTCTAGCATCTCTTCTTTTTTCCAGGGTGGAGGCAGCAGAGGAGATAGAGGAGGGAAAGAAAGGCCTTCCAGAGGCCCGTTGAGTACTAAAGTGTCTGCTGAAAACTGTAACGTCTGTTATATGGTCTCATACACCAAAGCTCCATAAATATAAAGGGCTGGAAGATGGAGTTGATTGGTAATCGAATCCACAACATTTCACCTCGAGGTCACTGTTTCCTGTCTGTGCTGCCTGGTAGCAGCTTGAAAGTTACAACCTGATGTGGGGGAGCTTGAACTTCCTGCGTGGAGTCTGCAGACTGAAAAAAAAAAAAAAATCAGACTGCAGACCTGCCTTTCAGAAAGCTTTTTTTAAAATTTTTAATTAAAAAAAAAAAAAAAGTAATGCAATTAAGGAGTATTCCTGTGCCTTCCTCATACGTATGTGCGCACCATGCCCACAGCCCCCCTGGGGTGTCCAGGCGGGTATCAGAGCACAGCACCACTGCTCGCTGAGAACAGGGCAACTGGGGGGTGAGCATCCCGCTTCGTGCTCCCGCGGCAGCCCGTCTCCGAGCACACCAACTTTTCGTGCGGCGCGGCACGATGCAACCGGCCCCTGGGCCACGGCTGCGCCACGGGGGAAGGGAGCCCACGCTCGCGCCGCTATGGCCGCGAGCTCACGGCCCCGGGCCAGCCCGGCCAGCGCCGCACGGCGAGCACGAGCTGCTAGGCACGGGGGAGCGCGTTTTGCCCAACGGCCGCTAACGGGCCAGCCCGGCGCCTCCCCACGGGCGGCCGTTACGGCGCCGCGGCCGTTAGGGCGCCCTCCCCCTGCTGCGCCACCCGCGCATGCGCGTTGCCGCCTCGCCCTTCCCCCGCGCGCTCCGCGGGGCCGCTGCGCAGCGCG